TTTGTTTTATCCTGAATGCGGTTCAACACATCCAGGCGAATGGGTTGACTGTTGGATGTGTTAGAGTTCTTGCTTCTTTTCAGTGTATTCGCCTATTCAATGATTGTTTGTGTTCTAAAATTATACCTTAAAAGCAGTGCTGCATATAATAGTGTCAACTGTTGACTAGGACTAAATCTGGCGGTTCCGGGCTGAATTGATTCTCTGATTTTCCCCATAGTTTCACGTTACTTCAACAATGAGCGTCAAACATTGAATAACTCACCAATCGCTTGAATACTATGTCCACTAGATCACGAATCCCCTCGTCCGGATCCTCATCGGTGGGTTGCTAAATGTTTTAAATCGAAAACGAAAACTTCGGTTGAAAAAAGGATAACGAAGTGTCTAAAGCAAATTCGTAGTATGTCCATGCAAAGAGAAAGAAGGCTCCGAGAAGCGTATGGGATTTTCCTAAGTACTACGCACTAATGGCCCTATGTATCAGAGGGTAAGTGTCATATTTGAAGGATGCTACGTTCCAAGAGCAATTTTTGCTATTAAATCTAGGGTAGGTGAGAACTATACCCGCTTATCAAATACAAATCTTGGACTGGATCTTCGAGAGATCAAGTGCATTATGTTGTTCAAAGGCGTGACTGACTTAAGGAGGCTTAAAATGCGCACCATACTTGTCTACAAGCCGGTGGTATATATATATATATATATATACTTCTTGGGACCTCACAGACACAACAATTAAACCTCTGGATATCGCTTCACTCCCGTTCTATATTTCTTTGAACCTAAAGGTGTGATAGATAGAAACAGAACCACTGAAAACTCACCTTGATCAGCGAGGTCTTTAACAATTGAAACATCTCCTCCCTTGTGATCATACCATCCGAGTTCAAGTCGTACGCTCTGAAACAGACTGTACGAATTAGAATTACGGGAAAAGCAATTTAACACAACATTGTGCTCTCTGCTCCAGTGTACCCCGGAGAAACACAGACATCCCGAGAATCCAATAACGCGCACTGATTGCTCCAACCCCGGTTATATCAAACGCTCTAAAAACTAACACCACACTCCAGATAGATGCCATGGCCAATCTGATGCACATACCTCTGTCCATCATGACGTCGTCTGTCATGTGAAAAACGTGATGCAAAATTTCACGAAATGTGACACGATCCAATTTGGCAAACGGTTTTTTCTCATTGATTTTGACAAACATGTCCAACAGGTGTTCTATTTCAGATCGAGTGACTGCAAGGAATGTTGGGCGGCCGGTGAACAAAAAGAAGGAAACTTACAGTTCACTTGTCCCTCTAGTACGTTCACGAGTTGGGCAATTCGTTTTCGGATTGACACCTCTAACATGGTTTCTGATTCTGAAATAATTGTATACTTTTCATTAAGGCAACTGGGTTTGTGTCGATTGATACGCGCTGAATTNGGAACTTTTCATACTACCTTTTTTTATGAATGCATCAGGCGGAATTCGTAGCGTTCAATTCTGTGATTGCATTACCCTAGTGTTTCACAGCATATTATGATTGTCATTCATCTTGATATGAATAGGATTAGACAAAGCAGCGGTAGCTGAAAATACGGATGCGTAACAAATTTCTGAGTGAATTATCGATCACGAATGAAAGGTGATTCTGTCTTGAATCGACCATTTTGTCAATTAAATGATACAGATTTGTGTGTGCACCGGTTTCATGGTACTGCTATGGTGTTTAGACGTAAGTTGAACTGATCCCGGATACCCTCGGGTTAAGCAGAGCTGAACGCTACCAGGTGCGTCCCCGGATTGTGGATAGGGGGATACCTTCACCGAAGAAGGTTGGCGGTGAATAAATTTTGGCATATCGCAACAAATAAGCAGTCGCGAATAAACAGCGGTGGCACTGATAGGGTGCGTTGGGTTTCATGCTGCTCACCTGGCTCTTGTTTAAAAGCCGGTGTAGTGACAGAGGTCGATGGGGCCGGCCGTTAAAAACTAAAGTCATTGACCCCTCACTTCCGAGGCGAGGGACCACTTCCTGCTGCCTTGCAGTTCCCACTTGGTTGTGCAAAGGCTAGAGGTGCACCCTCAAAATAAAAAACGCTGAGTGACGCTGGGAACCGCTCTCGTATCAAACTCTGAAGTAAATGCATGATCATGTCTGGAGTCGGCTAATCCTTTCCAAGGGTCCAGCCGCAGTAAAGTCTCTATCTCTTATTGTTCATTGTGTTATTCAATAAGGCTATATTATGTCACCGTACCTCTTTACCTTTCTCGTGGATGGTATCCCACGAATCATTCTTCCGAGGTGTTTTCCCACCAAAGTGAGAGATTGAAAAGCCTACATCCCGGGTCTATGGTCGGATTAGTGAACCATTAGCACTTCACCTACGGGAGTTGGTTAAAAATCCTGATTCCAAACCAGCCAATAAGAGGCGCGCAAACCATATTGTCTTCCTGGTTGTCGTAGCGGTCACCGGCTCNNCCGGCTCGATTGGGCATCGAGGTGTATTAGGTACCTTGGATGTTTGATCCTGTCCGAAGGGTGTGTGATTCGGTGAACTGAACACCGGCGTCCAATAGACTTCGGTTTCACACACCACCCCACTGCCTTACAGGTCAGGCTTTGGCTAACAGAAGGCTTCAGCTGTGTATTCCTGAAGAAAATGTACCTGCCTTGGCCTGGGCAACCTGTCAGTATTCCGCTCACAAATAAATCATGGAACTTTTTTCTTTTTATCAAGATTATTGTATCGTGATTTGCTTGTCACACAGTTTGGCCTCGGGCGCGTGTTTGATGTATGATATCATACTCTTTAGACCTGATCTCCCTCAGAATTGGGCTGCATATTGAGTGTATGTGGATATCTCCCTGATTGATGAAAAAGTGCGGGAACTGCGAACGACAGTGGACCGCTTGATGGTCAAGGTCGCTCGGTATTATATACACTCCGTTCCCTCGAAGTGCTTCTTTTGCATTGTTGAAACCTAATCATGCAAGCACTTTCTGGTGTTTGGTTGGGTGTAGTCGATTGCTTTATCTATTTAGGATGTTAAATGATAACTGGAGATAAAATAACATCACCGGGAAACCTGACTGTTGTTTACCGACATGGGGTGTTTGCGACGCAGCCTCGCTGTAAACGGACTGGTATGCCCTAACATTTTGCAGTGTTTTGCTTTATAATTGTAAGCCATCACCACTTGGGCTGGGAATTCAAAATGATGCTCATTATTCAATCTTCGTTGGTATCAGTGATCGGTCCGTGCTTGGCGGTACCATCATTACGAACCTTGGCAACATGTATTGGGTATGGATGTATCTCCCTATCTATACTGGAGATGAATACGGCCGATCAAATCGGAAAATCGGAGATATTTCTTTTTTGTAAGGTAGAAAGAGCACCGGACCTAATACTGAACCACATGGTGCTTCACTTGCAACACTGCCTTCGGCGGATAGGGATTCCTCACAATAACCTTACAGGTATTATCTTTAAGGAAAGGCTCTATCTAACTGAAACGAGCCAGGGTGAGGCCAAACCTCTTGAACTTTGGGTGTAGGGTGAAACTAGGTGAAGCCTTCCATTCCACGGAGATGGTTTTTGATAACCATAATTCAGTAAGAACTACTATATCGCTGTCCTGACTGTCAATCCTCAATTCGCTGTTTCCAATACTGCTTACATTAGTATGCCATAGTTTTGGGTCACATTGGTATTCAAAAGTATATTTTGCTCAACTCGTCTCCGCCCTCGAATGCAGCAACCGCTTATCAGTGTTGCTTTTTGCTACTTTCCGTACTCTGTTGAGTGGGTCATTCCGTATTTATGGAACTTGGGTCTCATAGGCTCTGATCTTATTGCGATAACCGTCTCACGTTGGTCCAGCCTTCGTCCGGTATACTTGCTTGGCGTTTTTCTTGGTCTGATCCTCTCACCCTGTTTCGCGCTTCTTAGTCGCTTAGGTTTGCATAGACCTTGAGGGTACAATCAGCATTAACGTGCTATCTTTATCGCAGTCAAGGAGCTCCACTAAGAGTTTCTATTAACCACTTGCGGTGTCTATTTTCCATGGGCTTCAGTGCTTTAACTCCGATCTTATTTCTGCATTATTGGTCTACTTAGAATCCAGCAGTAAGGGCAGTAAATTCTTGGTGCCACTCAGAAAGAATATTTATCTCATCCACCGAAGTTGTGCGTTTTGAATTTGGACTCCACTTATGAAGGATAGCATTTTATGAGTTGGTACACTAATCACACAAGCTAGGGCATATGTGCTTATCGGCTTTCATCCATGTTTATAACAGCGCAGCCGCACAACAGTCTGTGTCCACAGTGTTTACGTATTGATTTATGGCTGATGATATTATTAATCGAATGAGATTGGGCGAGGAAAAGACAAGATCTTGGATAACTCCTAAATCTCCGGAGTTTCTGAATACCTCCGAATATCTTTATGAATATAGGTTTACTTATGCACATAATGAAAATAATTTGATTAACATCCATAACCTATTATTAGACTGGAAGGCGAGGGCGCTCCAATTGTTGTTTTATGATGTGAAAATCAGTAAATTGCTTGTGTGTGTATTAAAGTTAGTTGGGTAAAAAAATAAGACAACAAGGGTAAAGTGAACCTAAAGGGGGGTTAGGAATAATGATGACTTTACCTCATCCAAACCGGCCTTAAGTTGGAGGTGAAACAACTTTCTTCGACAGTTTGTTCCATCTGTTGATGGTTTGATTGGATAAAACGTTTAATGCAACACCTTTTAGTGCTCTGGGTTTCTTCTGTTTAAGACTAGTCACACACACACCCCGTTGCAGAGTTTTCTTCCAGGGTGAAGAGGGATGTGTTGGTGTTCCACATCCCCTTTCATCTATTCGAATACTTCTACGGCCGAGGGAAAATAGTTTTAGGCTCCATAGCCTTTTCTCAGGCCTGCAGCGGTCTTGTTGAACCTTCATAATACGTTTTCCAAGATTTGTTGATCTCCCTTTAGGCTTGGGGCCCAGTATTGGACTGCGCACTCAAGTTGCGGCCTAACTATTGCCTTATATAAGTGTATCAGAACTTGGGGTACTCTGGAATCAATTGTCTTGCGCAACTGATCGATAGCTCACTAGGCTTTTCTAGCTGCAATAGAACAGTGTGCAAAGGAATTGAATGACTCGTGAATATTCATGCCCAAGACCGTTATTTCCGCAGTTCTTTGTATAACTTGGGGGTTAGTTTGGTTTGTGGTTCTAGGTGCGCGTGGTCCAGCAGTCAGTCGCTGTTTGCGCTTTCCTACATTTAGGGAAAGGCTTCAGATATCAGACCATGTGTAGAGGCTGTTTATTTCTGCTTTTACGGTTTCCTCGGTCGGATTATCAACTATAACGTCATCGGAAAACAGATAACAAGGAGACTTTAGCCTGGCGGTCGAGTCATTTATAAAAACGGTGAACAGTAATGGCCCCAGGACAGACCCTTGATTTACTCCGTTACGGGCCTTGGCTAAGTAGAAACACAGCCTTCACGCTGACGTAACA